CCTGTTTCCAGAGATTTTCAGAGTTTTGCCTTCTGAAACAACTTTTTTTTTAAAGCTATGCAAATATTTTCCCTTTAATTCTGATGCTTTGATAACAACTAACATAATATTTGTTTCAGAATGAAAGTATGTTTTCCAATAAGGAGTAATGGGAATAAGCAGAGACTGTGTATATATTGTTTGTAATGACTAAAAGTTTCCTACTGTGTTGTTTTTCACAGATGCAGGTTGTTGAAACTCTAGAACTAAAAAATCAAACAATCATCAAGGAATTCATTCTGCTGGGATTTAAGCATCTTCAGAACATAAGAATTATTTTGCTACTGGTGTTCCTTATAATCTATGTCATGACCATCGCTGGAAATATCCTGATTGTTATACTGGTTGTGGCTGATCGACACCTTCATACACCTATGTATTTCTTCCTGGGGAATTTATCCTGCTTAGAGTCCTTCTATACTTCAGCTATTTTACCCAGAATCCTGTCTAGTTTCTTGAATGGAGATAGATCAATATCAGTCAACGGCTGCTTTGTGCAACATTATTTTTTTGCATACCTGGCAGCTGTGGAATGCTATCTTCTTTCTGCAATGTCCTATGATCGATATGTGGCTATATGTAAACCACTTCATTACGCATCTCTAATGAATAGTAAGTTGTGCCTCCAGATGGCAGCTGGATCTTGGGTAATTGGGTTTATTGCCAGTACTATAACAATTATATTAATGTCACGATTAGTCTTCTGTGGTCCAAATGAAATTGACCATTTCTTCTGTGACACCTATCCAATTATCCAGTTGTCTTGCAGCGATACGGTTCTTTTAAGAGTCCTAATTTTAAGTTTTGTATCTCTGTTCACCTTACCCCCCTTTACACTTACATTATTGTCATACACATATATACTATCTGCAATTGTTAAAATCCCATCTACTATTGGAAAGCAAAAGGCCTTTTCCACCTGCTCTTCTCATCTCATGGTGGTAACTATTTATTATGGCTCCATCACAGCTGCATATACCTTACCAGATTCTGCTTCTCTGAGAGACTGGAACAAATTTGTTTCTGCCTTTTACACAGTTGTAACACCTCTGATCAACCCTCTCATATACAGCCTAAGAAACAAAGATGTAAAGGATTCTCTTCAGAGGTCTGTAGTTGTCACATGGATTAGAAATCAGGTAAGTGGTCATAACAATAAGCTTCTGCAAACAAACGTCAGCAGGCAATTGGAAAGTGTCTCAAAAAAAGAAATAAATCTTTCTTGATCATTATTAAAAGCAAATGTTGGTTTATTGAACTCCATAGAATCAGAATAATAGCAATACCAACAACAATAATGTTGATACTACTACTAAAATTTTTGTTTTCCAAAATTAAGGAAAAAAAATGTAGAAAGTGCATATGAGCCCTCTTATTCATAAATATTCGGGCCAGGATAAGCAGATATTAAGCCCGCAATATCTACTATGCATGCATGTTCTCACTGTCAGGTTCAGCTGGCACCGCACGCCTAGGAACTTG